ATTGAACTGCTGCAGATTATCAAAAACAACTTTGATCTGCGTCCCGGTGTCATTGTTAAGGAATTGAACCTGTTCAAGCCTATCTACAAGAAGACCGCTTGCTACGGGCATTTCGGTCGTGAAGAATTCACCTGGGAACAGCCCAAGCCTCTCAAGTTTTAATCGTTCTCATCCTATATATTACCCATACGTGGTGTTGGTGATTTATTTTTAAGCCAGCTGATGTTTTATTTTCGCTGCGATTCCAAGGACGCTCACATTTCTTATACATTTTTTCTCTCTCTCTGACAATTCAATTACCCATCTCCTTTATACTTTTATTCGGCACAGCAATAAAAATTCCTTTTGAATAACCTTTGGTTAAGGTCCTTCTAATGTTTTAGTATGGAGAATACCTGTACAGTGCGAATAGATGAGTATTTGCTTCGGACTAACCCCCCCACATTGTACTGTTTACAGTGCTACTAATTTATGCACATTTATAATACCACCGTCAGGTTATAATTCACAATGGGTCTGAAACTAATCACTGACCCTCAAAATAATAGGTTAAGTAATAAGTGTACTCACATGATGATTACTTTTGTGTCGCACTATTTTTTTTTTAACCAAGCTCTTGGCATTCATAATGGAGTTCGAATAGTGCCCCTATAAATCTCAACTGAGAGCAATTAACAACAAAAAAAAATACCGCCCCGTTCCACCCTTTCCCATTGCTGCGTTTATTTATTTTTTTCCATGCTTTGACTTGGGTTTCTTTTATTTCCTATTGTACTGCAAAACCAAGGCCAAGGGTTCAAACCATTCCGCTGTACCATTCTCTCTTTTTTTTACACCAATTTATATATATTTTATTTTGGTTTTAGGTTTCCCTTTGTTCTTGTGAAAGGAAAAGCATTATCCACTGTTTCACTGATACTTATCCCAAGACCTCGACTGAACCCCTTCCTCTGTGTACCATTGTTTTTTTTTTCATTCACTTTTAAACATCTCAACAGCTCCCTATCCCATTAGACATTGACTCTCCTCGAAAAGAAACACCACCATGAGCGCCTCACCCGAAACCAGTATGGCCCTTACCGCCAAGCCCATTCAAGTCAAATTGGTATTACTCGGCGAAGCAGCGGTCGGTAAGTCCAGTTTAGTACTCCGTTTTGCCAGTAATGAATTCCAAGACAACAAGGAGCCCACTATCGGCGCGGCTTTTGTAACGCAAAAGTGTCGGTTGGAAGACAAGGTCATCAAGTTTGAGATTTGGGATACGGCCGGTCAGGAACGGTTTTATTCGTTGGCGCCAATGTATTATCGTAATGCCCATGCCGCGGTGGTGGTGTTTGATGTTACTCGGGCGTCGTCTTTGGAACGGGCCAAATCCTGGGTGAAGGAATTGCAACGGCAGGCCAACCTTAACGTGGTGATTGCTCTCGTGGGGAATAAACTTGACTTGGTACGTCCTTCATCGACAGGGGCTGAAGTTGTCGTCGGGGAAGAAGAGATTCCTAGTGCGGTCACTCCGGAACAGGGGGAAACAGAAGGTGAAGATACGAATCCCGATGTGTCGTCGTCTAGCGAAAGCGGTATCGAAGGAACCGAATCCGCCAATGCAGAATATCGACCTCGTCAAGTTACCACTGAAGAAGGGGAAGCCTACGCTGCCGAAGCCGGTCTGCTGTACTTTGAAACTAGTGCAAAGACGGGCGAAGGGGTACAACAGGTATTTATAGAAATCGCCAAAAAGCTCCCCACCGACCAGATTTTATCCAAGAGTCAACGTACTGCCTCCGCCGGATTGAACTCGGGTTCTGTTAACGTCAACTTGGTTAACGAGAGTGGGTTCGGTCGGTCTGGTCAGGGTAATACTGCCGATGGCGCCGCCAATGCCGGTAATGGTTGTGCTTGTTAAATCTTTAAAACCTTGCAAGATATAACCCATATATAGCATTACTCCATACCCGCTGATGTTCCCTGGTAACTAGGTCGATGCTTGTTATACATTTCTTCTTTATGTGACCTCTTGCATTGTTTGCACATGGCGTATGGTCGTGGCGATTAATATCCATGACCTGGCTCCAATTCCAATACCCCCGTAGTTTTAGTCTCTATTTCCAAATTCTAGTTTATCCAAAAGATTGTGACCGCATCCAATGTGTTTATGTATCTTTTGACTGATGTACTTATCTCCTTACCACTTATTTACTTATTCCACGCGGGTTTCTAAAGATGTTTTTCATCTTTCTTTAGTATCTCCTTGTTTACTGAAGAAGAAATGATTAGTTTTGTCCGTTGCCAGCGGAAATGACATGAATTACAATGCTGGGTTAGCCCTTCAGCCTCATAAGTTTCATCAAGATTGTTATCCTTTTTCAAGGCTTATGTTTGGAAGAAATATCAAAACTAGTGTATAACCGTTATTTATCGTTTATGATTTTTTTCTAAATGGAGAAGTCGAAATGATGTGTTCTTTATTTCACCACAATCTTGTGAATTAATAATGTTCGTTTCGTACCAATGGTATAATTGAACGTATACCGGCGTTTGAGGTTATCTGGCTAACAAGTTGTAATGAACGTGCGAAGTAAAGCACTAGATCGGCTATCCTAGTAGAAATTTATGACAAGACGATAAAAAAGGTGGTTCTGAAAGCTCCACGGTAGTGACGTATCACCACGTAGCAAAAAAAAAGTATTACGTTTTATAAAAGAATTTGCAAGCAATAATATAAAATTTTGCGTAATCAAGGATATTAGTTTTGCAGCGGGTAGTCGGCATGGTTGTATTATAGTATGAACTCAGTTCGTGGGTGCCACGCCAAAGTGGTTGGCCTCGGTGGGCACACAGTAGTGAGGTTAATAGTTGTTTGTACAAGAGATAATAACACAGACCATGGCAGTCAGTTCCATTGTTGGCTCTGGTAGTACTGGTCTAGAGACACCTGGATAATCCCGAGGAAGTGTAGTGAGGGCATCAAAAATGCTTTAATTCCGAGGGCAGGGTCATACTCTTCAGGTGACCCTGCAAGGGAAATTGTAAGGTGAGTATCGGGCTGTGTGCCAACCAGAAAAAAGAAACACTGGTATAGTCTGGTAAGATGCTATGTATTGATTGTTGTCTGGATGTTCTATTGCATACTACTATTCCGTATTATGATGTGCTTCTGTTGTTTCTCTTCCCTACTGTGCATGCTCTCCGCTCTCCGCTCACCGACCCAAACCATTTCAACGTGGTACTGCCAACTGCGTTCTCAATGTAATTCAAACGTGCTGCCTACCTCCCGCAAACCTAATATCCTTGATTGCGCAAAATTCTTTATACACAACACCAATAAACATGTTAAGACATTTCCCAAGTGTGCTATGATCAATCGACGAATATAATATATTCAAAATTCCATCAAGAATGAGACCAAGGAGAGATAAAAGTCCAAAAATCCAGGGACAAAATTGGGATATTTCCGGAATCATCATAAATAGGTAATGTACCTATTAATGCAGGGGCAACCCCCACCCTTACAAAAAAAACCACGTACTCTTGGTAATCCAGTTCCTATCCATTATAATCAAAAGTCAAACAGACCAACCCTAGCTGGGCCTAGCCTTGAGATAAAACCCTTCCTGGGTGACCCACTTGCAATTTTCACCGCGACTCTTGGACGTAAAAATTTCGAGATGTCCAGCAATCGGTTCATGAAATTTGTAATCACTACTAGCACTCAGATACTCCCCAGTGACCTGATGTTTAAGATAAACCGGGTTCTCCCTCAACCATTCCGTACGACCCTTGGCACAATCCACTACCCAATGGTCCCCTTCGTCCTGACCGTCAAAAGCGCTCACTTCGTTATTTTTCGACAACGGCGACCGGTGTTCATGACTATGCAACAAATTACCTGATGCCACATGTTGAAGCCGTACTACCGACCCACAAGGTACACTTTGCCCACGGCCCACATCCGCCCATGCACTACCCAAAACTAGCCACAAACTACGTGTGTTCGTCCGGTCGTTTAACCCCGTTACCGAACGTTGACCGCTACCCGATCCATACCGAATATCTTCGGAATGTAACTTGTATTGAGTAGGTCGGTGCGTTAACTTGATTACACTACCAAACGTAACCGTTTCGTACCCCTTTTCCATTGTCGGATGGGTCAATTCTCCAAAAGTCCATAACGGCGCTAGGGTTAACCATAACCCCAAAACGTATCCTACCGGTGTACGCATGGCGGTGAGTTGAAACGAACAAACTGGAACGCTGTCGGTCTTAAAATTGGTTACAAAAGTTAGAATGTGACAAGATGATGTGGCAAGAGTCAAATCTCTGCTTTTCTTGAAAAAAAAATAAACCACTAAATTTGGAATGGACAAGGTGGACTATGTAATGCAATACGCTGTTTTTTTTTTTTAAAAAAAAGAACAATAAACTATACGGTCGAGATGAATTACGTATAGATGAGCCAAACGAAAATATCGGAACAGGGAAGTCTCGGAAAATTGGGTTACATAGGATTTCTCCACACTAATTATATCCATAATTGAGGCAAAAGATGAAAAAATTAGCATCAATCAAGATATTCTTCGCAAAGATGGATAAAATAAGGAGGAATGTTCCCTTCCATGTGGCCATTACCATTTCCTGAAATCTGTACTAATAAGCATCTATACTGCTAACATCTCCTATACTATGGTATATATATAAATATTGTTGATGGGTTACCAAGAGGAGAAGAGTCAGCATGGTATCACTACCAGGAACTCCATTGACACCTACCTCTGTGATACACTGCAGGGATCTTATGAAATATGACGAGGAATATTAGACATTAATACTACACTTTAATGGATTATGATGTGGTCCAACTGTATTACAAATCAAAAGCTAGATTACCACGGCATATAAAAATAACTATTAAGGGTAAAAAAGACAGTGACAAGAGTATAGCTAAAGTTTAAATTTCAGTAATATACAGAAAATAGACTAAAAATAAACTTTTTTAAATCGATTCTTCGGTAGTATAGTGGTGAGTATCCCAGCCTGTCACGTTGGAGACCCGGGTTCAATTCCCGGCCGGAGAGTGTTCTTTTTTATTTCTGTTGTGGGGTGGGGAGGTTGTGTGGTAGGGTGGGAAAGTTTTCTCAGTTTTTTTTTTGTGTTTTTGAGTCACATGACTTGGACGGGTCAATGGTCAGGTGATCTGGATATTGGTTGAGATCATGTGA